ACTTGTTTTTTCTGTATTAATCTTAAGTCCCGAGATTTCAGCATACAATTGGAGAACACGAGGAGATGCATCGAGCAATTCTGGCGAACCATCTAATATCAATGATGTATCATCTGCATATTGAGAAAGTACAAATTCTGTATCATCTTTAGAAATACCCTTTATCTCCTTACTATTTCTTACCAAAATGCCTAATATTTCTGCACATAGCAAGAAAATATAAGGGGATAAAGGATCTCCCTGTCTACAGCCTCTCTCTACAGTGAAGAATTCTGACAGAAAACAGTTTTGTGTCACTGCAGCTGTTATATTGTTATAGAAGGTTTTAACCCAGGATATAACTGATTCACCAAAATTAAAATATCTTAATGTATCATAAAAAAAGGACCAAGAAATGGAATCGAATGCCTTCTCAAAATCAATCAGCAAGAGAATTCCTGGGATATTATTTTCTTCAGTAAAATGTAGAATATCATATATTAATCGACAATTTTCGCCTATATATCTTCCTGGAACAAAACCAGTTTGATCAGAACTTATTAATTTTGACAAAACAGATTTTATTTTCTCTGCTATACAGCTTGATGCCAATTTATATGTAGAATTTAGAAGAGTAATAGGTCTCCAATTTTTAAGAAATTGTTTTGGTTTACCATCTTTTGGAATACATGTAATCACTCCCTGCCTCTGGGTGACAGACATTTGGCCCTTCCCATATCCAAAATTTATAGATCTAAGGACAAATTTACCAATATCAATCCAAAAAAATTAAAAAAATTCTGCCGTGTAACCATCAGATCCCGGACTCTTGTTATTTTTCATTCTCTTTAATGCTGCAGTTAATTCAGAAAAAACTAATCTTTCCCTCCAATAACTGCTTTTCATCCTCGCTAAGCTTCGGTATATCATTATAACAATTGTCCCGTGTTAAGTCAACCCTTTTCAAACAATCTTTTTTTTTATAAAGTTTCTCATAAAACACCCTTGTCTGATTTAAGATTTCTTTTTGTTCTTTCACTATAACACCATTTTCTAAAGTAAGTTTTTGAATAGTCTTATTAATATAATTCCTAGTCTCTAGATTTAAAAAAAATTGGTAGGTTTTTCTCCTTCTTCAATCCACTGACTTCTTGACCTAACATATTGTCCCTGAACCTTCTTTTGTCTATACATTTTAAGTTCTGCTTTTTCTGATCAATCTCTTCAAGATTTTCTTCTGTTTAATTTTAAAATAATCTCATTTTCAATTTTTATATCCTCCTTTTTTTTTTATAAGAGGCGTATGAAATAGTTTTACCGCGTATTTCTGTGAGTAAAGTTTCGAAAAATAACTGGTCATCAACAGTAAATTCAATTTCATAGTTGTCAATATTTTGTAAATTTTCATCTCTATATATCTTGATGGCATATTGTTCTTTTACTGTACTTATGAGTTTTTTTTATCTCTTTAACATAGTCAGTATCATGAAGAAGGGAATTATTACACTTCCAAAGGCCTCTGCCTTTTATAAATTCATTAATCTTGAAAGAAAAGATCACTGGTGAATGATCAGACCTATAACTATTATCAATTTTAACATCACTAACAAAGTGAAAAATATTATCAGAAATCAGAAAAAAAGTCTAAACGAGATTGTTTAAAGGGTTTTTTTTTCCTCCAAGTAAATCTTTTCACATTGGGGTATAATTCTCTAAATGGCTAAACTAGATTAAAGTCTTCCATTAGCTGTAATACTTTTTCTCTAGACTTTGGGTTGTTGATATTAACATAATTATGAGTGTCAAGATTAAAACTTTGAATAAGGTTAAAATCACCACAAAGAATACAAGATTGGTTATCAAATTCTTCAATGATGTCTGCCGCCTTTTGATAAATCAAGGAGTGTCTACATTTGGCCCATAAATATTAACTAAGGTAATTCTTTGTTCTTCAATTGTAATATCCAATCCAAGAAGGTTTCCACCCTCATCTTTTTTAACTTTGTGAATTTGAAGATCAAAGTTTTCATTAAAAAAGATGGGCACGCCTCTCTGATTGGATGTAAATGAATTGAAAAGGCTTTCTTCCTTCCACTGATTTTTAATGTTTAATTCGTCTTGTTCTGTAAAATGTGTGTCCTGAAGACAGTAGATATTAAAATTCTTTGACTTCAAATAATTCAAAACATCTCTCCGTTTCTCCTTTGTATAAAGACCTTGACAATTATAAGAAATTATTTTAAGAATATCACCCTTCATGCATGTGTTTAGCTTTATCAATATTTATAACTCTAATGATGAGTGAGTATACATGAATATACCATGATATTTGTGAAATCAAGGGACTTTTAGAATTCTTTTCCTTTAAAACTGTATAATTTTTCAAGATCTGTGACACCTTAAGACATATTTGTAATTTACAATAAATGCATATATATGTAAACATAAAATACAATAGCAAGACAAAGTCCAACACTAAAATCAAATATTAAATCTGCACTCTGAGACATTCACTGTTGTTGTGTATGATATTCACTCTAAATGGTCTAAGGGAGATGACTCGGAAGAAATTTAATAAATACATTGGATTCAGATGGAAATTTAATTTGAGCAAACCCAACAGTGAATAAATGTATAGTTCATGTTATGTACATATTTTGAAAGATTATTTCATTCCTATAATTTCATAATACAGTTAATTTCCTTACTGACATTCTTTCCAACACACAAAGACATTTTTTCCATTCTATGTGGTTATGGCAAAAAAAAAAAAGATCACACAAGAAGCACAAGTATACAAATGTCCATTGTTTTGCCTTCAAATCTGATCCAGTCAGATTTGTCAATATTTTTATTATAAGATGTTGTCTGTCTAACACGTTCATTCTTTTTGAAAAACATTTTTAGTTAAATGAACTATATATAATATAAATAAGCCTTTTATGTACACTATTTCAAGACTGTCAGAGTTGTTCAATTTACTACATGTAGATATTGGAATTTGTATGTTTGTCCTTTGTATATATGTATTAAAAACTCCCATGTCAAATTTACAAATTTATATGATCCTTTGTCTATTTAAGAAGGCAGAGATGTTTTATACTCATTATATCTCTGATACGATCAAATATCAATATTCTTTATGAGATGTAGCTGTAAATATATAAGATTTATGTAAACGTTAATATTTCTCGTTTAAAAGAACAATGCGTACTTGAGAGACATGCAATTGCAAAAAATTAAGAACACTGACCGACTTCAAATGTAGTATCACTCTTGATAAAAAGCAATACTTTTGCATCACAATGTAAATCAAATTAATGCATGATCAATATATCATAAAAACTAACAAAACTATCTACCAATCGAACACAGACTGCACATCATGAGTGTGTGTATGCATATCATATTAATGAGTTAGTTTCAGCAGAGATTGTGCAAAACTTATTATAGTATGGTCACTTCATCTTAGTGTACATGTACCATAAACACAACAAGAAAAGATAATTTCAAACAAGCATCTCATTCTGAAATTTGGAATAAACATCACTTTAAAAGTGGTCTATACTTTACATATTCTAACTTCAACTCATTTGTGTCAGTCTGTATCTGATGAGTTAAAGTAAAACATATAGCAATAGCATTAAGCACAGCAGTTCAGAATAATACTAAATAACTAGCAAGAGCAAAATTATAAATAAGTATATAAGCAGCAGAAAATAAACATATAAATAAATTATAAAGGCAAACATTTCAACACAGCAGATTGGAAAATGAATATATATATATAAAGCAGAATTAGCATTTACATGTATATGTGTGTGTCCATATATCGCAGACAATCAGGCAAAAAAGCATAGAGAGCAAGCAAAACTAAAGCAATAAAAAGCAAAAAAAAAAACCAACAAAAATAAAACAAAAAAACAAAAATAAAATATTTGCATAAATAGAAAATAAACCTAGAATAACGTCATTGATTCTAACAATACTGTTTTCAATATTTTAACAGCGGTCGAGAAAAAATATAATTACTTTGTTGTTTTTTATAAACCTTTTAATTTGATGATATTTTAATTAATTTTAGTACATTTTAAATTTCCAATTCACAAATAAATTATTGTATTATATATACGCCGTTACTTACTGTCATATGAACATACCTCTTTGAAGAAAATGTTTCCCTCTCCATGTAACAGCATGCTCTATTATACCCTGCTTGCGTAACTGGTTTAAACAAACACCTGTTTCATGATAGCTGTGGATGCACGTGGTCATATAACAAACGAATTGTCTTCGTCGTATAAGGAATTTGTAGACTAAAAGTGAAATAACTTATTTTAGTAGTAGAAATTATAAAACATCATTATCGTATAGTGCTGCATTTTGTTTAACAGTATCATATTAAATTTAACAAACAAGATTTTTTTTAACATAACTATTTATTGTACTCTTGTCTTGCACTCTGGTAACAATTCCCTTAATTGAAATCAACTATTTTGAGTTTTGCAATATACAATGATATTTTATGATAACAAGCGGTGTAGTGATCACATTAATGGCAACTATGTTATTTCAATAGATGATTACTTCGACAATTAATTTCTAGTGATGCTCCTTTATGCATTTTAAAAACCTCAACGCAAACGAGCAGCTCTATTATTACTGATCCTCATCTACTTCAAAGTACATTCGATACATGCTGTTAACATTCTTTAAGTTTTAAAATTGATAATGCTATTTATATTTTATGTTTTAATTGTCATATGTTGAAATGAAATGTAATTTTGAATAGTTATATGCTGTTAATCACGTGTCACATTTATGCACTAACTACAACAAAACCTACATGCTAGGTCAAATAGTTCAAACGAAAAAAATATATATAAAACTATGTCAAATCGCGGGAAATACATATAAAAAGACAGACAACACCAAGTAGGCAAATCAAATCAAATACCATTGAAATATAACAACTGTCCATTAGTTGATATATGTATAATGTTCTGTTCCAAAACACTTACAATGTTTTTGATAAACTATCCCTCTCCTGACAAATTTTATCCCAAGGCCATACCCACGGTTATATTTATGGAAGCGATGTCGCCTGCCTATTAGTTCCTTTTTGTGCAGGTATTGAAAACAGCTACGTATGCCGCCGTGTGTTCTAATACATGACCGGAGAATCTTATAAAATACGCTGTAGTCCATACTGAATCTGAAAACTGTCAAAACAAAAATACTCACATAAGAATTCAAAACCAATCATATAGAGGAAATAGATATATACATACATTTACATATAAATATACATCAATATACATATAGTGGCTACATAGATTATAAAATATTGATGAATTCGATATTACTTACAACACTGATTGATTTGAAATTATATATTGAAGATCCATAATATTTGATGTAAATTTTGACAAATTATAAGGAATAAAGAATAATAATTAAATTTTCTTTTCATGGCAAAACGTCAAAAAAATAAATTACATATGATGCTTCTGATATCAATGAAAAGTTTTTAAAAACCCAGAGATGAGTTAACTTACAGTATCCATGGTAAGTAATTCCTTGTCCTACTAGCTGAACTCCAAGCTTTCTATACATTCGGAAAATGCGCTTGTCTACTTTGATACCATGAACGTGCCCATAATTGGAAGAGCTTCGGTGTATAACAAGTTGGTGTGATGCAACTACAATATATCGGTGATGTGAAAAATGAAACATTTGAAAATTTAGGCAGCCGATACAAAAAAACGAAAAGCTATGAAAAACAACTGTCTTCAAAACATAAAAAAAAACTAAGATTGAGCAGCACAAACACTCATGGTAAGTACAAATGTAATGTTTTCATATATTTTTGCGCCAGTCTATATTTGATTACAGTAATTTGACTTCTAAATGCTAAACTTGACTATCTTGTGTTTTATGGAGCATTTACATTGATTCGAAATTCTAACCTCCTTTAATTTCCGAAAATATAAAATAAAATTTTTGTGGCGTTTCAATTTAATAAGGTTTTCCGGGAAAATAGTTTACCAAAAATAACAATCAAAATGAAAATAACCCCAAAGATGATAACAAGTGAGAAAATCTGGAAAGATACTATTAAAATAAAGATTTTGAATTTTTAGTCCAGACTGCATAGTCTGCAACTAATTACAATAAGGAATTGAATGTACAAATTGTGAAAATTCCAACCCTTTTTCATGCAATTCAAATAATATAATACAAATAAAATGTGTGCGAAAATATTGACAAATGTTCACTTATAATTCACAGAAAATTATCATTTTCCTCCATTTTTGATTGAATGACTCAAGATCAATGTTTAAACAAAAAAGACGATAAGCAATTAAATATCTCAGCACTAGAGTACAAAACCGGGTATTTGGTTTATGATTTCCAACACCTAACGTCTTCCGTTGTATATGACTGACTTAAGCGTTTCATTACAGTAAGCAATATCGCTGATTCTAACAATACTTTCTTTTAAATATTTTCAATCCGGGAGAGAAAAAATATTATAACTTTCGGGGATTTTTATAACTATCATTTTTTGGAATTAATGTAGGCACATTTTAAATTTCCAATTTCATAAATAAATTATCCGATTTATATACGTCATTATTTACTGTTCTTTGAACATACCCTTTTGAAACATATGTTTCCCTCTCCATGTTACAGCATGCCCTATTATCCTCTGTTTGTGTAACTGATTTAAACAAACATCAGTATGATGATAGCTGTTGATACATGTGGTCATATAACGAATGAATCGTCTTCGCCGTATCATGAACTTGTAAACTGAAAATTTAATTATCATGTATTAGGAGAAATTTAACATGTACATAAGTAGTGCTTGAAACACTGGTTGAGGAGGTCATTTACAAAAAAGTGTTTAAGTGAAAAATGTAAACATTTAATGTTGCCTCGCTGTATGTTAAAAGTTCTTTTTGTTGTAAGCAATTATTTCTTAATATAAAAATAAGGAGATGTGGTAGGATTGCCAATGAGACAACTATTCACAAAAGTTCAAATGAAGTGGATGTAAGCAATATAGGCAACTGTACGGCCCTCAACAATGAGAAAAACCAATACTGGAAAGACGGCTATAAAAGACAACGACATGAAAAATATGATACAATTCAATTTAGAAAACTAACGGCCTTATTTATAACAAAACAATTTACGAAAAACAAATATGACAGACATGAACTAACGACAACCACTGAACTGCAGGCTCCTGACTTGGGACAGGCACATGAAGAATGTGGTGAGGTTATACATTTTTTGTGAGTGTTCAACCCCCCTCTAGCCTGGGACAGTGGTGTCACAGCACAACACGAGAACAAGCTATACAAATCCGTTGAAAAGTGCTTAACTCATCAGATCGGTACAAAGCAGAAAAAAAAACATCTAACAAAAACACAGATCGGAGGTGACAGGGTATTTAAGTACATTTTGTTTTAAATTTTTTTTTTTGGTCAAATAAATTTTGTTTTATATCGTATTATGTGGATATTTATTGACAAAGTGTTTGTACAGTTCATATCCAATCTGTAATCCGTTCCATTTTTCATTTATTTATCAAATAATATTTTGTTCTGACTCAATCGTAATGTTTTTAAATGAAATATATTTAAAATTAGTTCCGAAAATTATATGCGCAATAACCCTATTGTCATGCAAAAAAAAATTTGATATTTAATTGCATTATTACTATCAACAGTCAATGCTAGTTTTAAATTCCTGTTTAAAAAATAAAAAAAACTCACAATGTTTTTTATAAACTATCCCTCTCCTGACAAACTTTATCCCAAGTCCATACCCTCTTCCGTATTTCATGAACCGATGACGTGAACCGATGAATGATTTCTTGTACAAGACAGGAAGACAAGCATGAACTCCACCATGACTTCTCATACATGAACGAAGGGTTCTATAAACTATAGTATAGTCTACACGTATTCTGTAAACTGTCAAAACAAAATGGCAAGGAATTATCGTCTTCTTTAACAAAAAAAAAAAAAAAAAATATGCATGAACATGGTGCATTTCGTGTTTGAAGAGAGAACGATTTTCGAATACTTTCCCCTTCATGAAAAGGTAAAAAAAAACGAAATTGATAATAAAAGGTAAACCAAGAGTTTATAAATTTCATGCGTCCGAAGCGCTTTTCTGAATTTACCTTCATCAGGAACGCTCAATGCCGAATATTTGAAAGCAAAGTATGTATAAAAAGCGAAACATTTGAGGATATGACACAAACAGACCTGATTTAATAGCTTAATCCATATAAGGTCAACTTTGCATGAGGGAGTTGAAACCTTAGTTTCTAAATAATTTATAAATTTATAAACGGACAATTTTAGAATGGTTTGTTATGAATCATGTCAGTACTACTGACTTGATGATACCTATGGGAACTGATAGTCCAAACGTAAATAGTGCTCAGACAGCAACGTGAATGCAATGTTAATAAATTTATTTCCATCGTGATTTTTTCTCTCAATTTGTTAAATTTTCGCCATTCAAAAAGATATAATTCATTCAGAATTTCATGCTACTCGTATTATTAATTTGATTTCTTCGACAATTATCTATTATGAGAGATTGATTCTGGCATATGCTGTACAATTACGTTACAAGAATTACAAGAATGAAAGTTCACATCATTGCATTTGCATTCATAATAAAAATCATTGAGTTTTGCACTTACATGTACCATTGATAAAAAACCTATTTTTTTATATTGTGTCTACTTACAATATCCGTTAAACAGTATTCCCTGTCCCACTAACCGAACACCAAGCTTTCGGTATCTTTGAAAAGTCCGTTTGTCTACTTTAATAGCATGGATGTGTCTATAGCCTGCATTATGATGCAAACCATCTGGTCTTGTGGATGCAGAGTTTAGATGCAAAAGCTGTTGTTGTGATGCAACTGAAGTATTATTGGTAATATGTTATATTCAAATAATTATGGGTTAATTGTTGAATTGAAGCCCCAAAGAAGACATTCTAAATACAATATTAATCATTGAAATAAGGCAACTAACTTCAAACAAGACTTTATTTATTGATTTCGTTTCTTTTGATAAAAATAAATACCACAAATAAAAAAACAATCAAATACCAGTTAACAAATAGCTCATGAAAGAAAAGATACTGAGAAACAAGGACAGATAATAGATTACGAAATATAGGTTTGATAGGTTGACTTAGTCTGCACAAAAGATGATTGAGCATAACCAGTTTCCTTGTATCTAAACTTACCTCTTACTTATCTAAACAATTTGTCATAAAAATAAAAGATCAAGAAAAATCATCGCACAGTAGAGCTGCCAACACGGTTGTCGCTAAATTGAATTGAAAGGCAATAAAAGCAAATCGCAAAAGCATGTTGGAATGATTTGTATCAAAATTCTTATGTTAAACATTTGGTTGGCTGTCCATAAAACTAATACTGACGTAACAATAAATGGCTGTCTCATGATATTATTTGCATATTGTAAAAATGACCTCCATCTGTAAATTTATTTACCAAGATTATTTGTTTGAATATAAACTGAACTCAGCTCATTCCAATTACGAACAAGGAAAAAAAAGTATTATAAGTGTGCATTAAAAAGGCAGAGTTAACTTTTCTCTCCTTCTACTCGAAAATGGAAAACACTTCACAAAACTCAATTTAACAGGTCTGTTAGCCTCTGTTTATGTTATATTTGTATATGAACTAGTATGCAGTAAGAACATAAATATAAAAACTAGAATGATTTTCCGTAGTTTGGAAAAGAGGACAGCAGTAAGTATCCATTGCGATTGCTATTATGTCAATGTCATTATGTTGAATTTGCCAGCTTACCAACATTGATTTCCGGTTTCAGCATGCTATAAAAGTTAATCAAAAAGTAGTTTGTCACAATTCATTCTTATATGCTAGTACCTTTAAAACACAACAACCCGACTAATACAAAACAAACAGTAAAGAACAGGTATATTAGTAATTTAAATGTTATGTTCCACTTACAATTATGACTAATTACGTGTTGTTTTCTATATGAATGTGCAGTTCCAAGTAGCCCTCTCCTTTGTAATTTGTTAATACATTTACTTGTGCGTCCGTTACTGTTCACACATACCGTCATATACTTTATGAAAGTCTTTCGCACAACGTGATACTTAAGATCTAAAAAAAACAAAATAATTCTGTAACATAGGCATGCGAGAATTAAAACAAAATGTCAAAGGAAAATCCAAACCACGAAAGGAACATGTTGTAATACATTTTACAAATGTTCTAATCTAACAATTATTTCTTTGCATTTATGATATCTAAGATTCAATTTGACAGGGTTAATTGCATTTAACATACTCCATGTAAACAAGATATTAACAAAGAAGATTTTTGAAGATTTTTTACAAACAATTCCGGCACCACATATGAGAATAAAAAGTAGATAGAAATATATACAAAGATGTTTTACGACGTTTACTAGTCGGCAAAGTTAAATTCATATTTACTCACAAAAGTTTTTATAGATAATTCCTTTTCTCACAAATTTTACACCTAGACCAAATCCGTGACCATATCTGTTATATTTATGGCGTTTTCCTATCAATCCACGTCCATACAATCTAGGAAAGCAAGGCTCAACTCCACCATATGTTCTAATACATTTCTTCAATGAAATGTACAGCCTTCTTTCGCTACAGCGTAGTTTATAAACTAAAAACAAATGTAAATACTCATTATTGTTCAACCAAATCACATATAAATGAAAAATTATATAGATATAAGAAGATGTGGTATGAGTGCCAATGAGACAACTCTCCATCCAAGTCAAAATATATAAAAGTAAACCATTATATATACATTTATTACAGAATTGTATTCCCATATACTTATAGGGGCATAAGCTTCGATTTATATATCCGATTCTTTTTGTAAACGTATTTTTAAAAGCGGAATTTTGAAGTAATATTTCGTTATAAACAGTAAGTTTGCCCCAAAATTGTCAAAATAGGCATAAAATCCAATTGCACGTGCTCGCTTTTTATTCATTATTATATTTATTTTGATATTGGGTTATTTGACCGTCGGCAGTCTTCGGAGGTCATCTCGATGGTATATTAGTTGTGCCTCTACACAAAAATACACACGAATTGCTGATAAATATTATCGAGTCCATGCATTGATGATTGTTCATTTTAGGCGTTTTGTAATTTGGATATACGTTTCAGTATGTTATAAATCAAATAAGAAAATTTGAGACAAAATTGGTACACATGAATTTGGCATCTAATGCCCCTTTAAAGTTATTTACATCTGCAGCACTATTCATGTCAAATCACATAGTTACCTTGGAAAAAGGACAATGAAATGCGTCTTTTCATTAAAAATATTAATAAAGATTTGACCTCTAAATAGCATCAAGTGATTTATTGGAACACTCTTCTGGTATGCTTTCCTGGACTCCGGAAAATTTATTAGCATAAAAGAACATGATAGACATTAGATTGGATAATAGTTCATAGCAGCATCATTCAATACATGTTCTATTTTTATCGATATGGTACTAGTATCAAAGAAAAATCATTTTGTAAATATGAATAATTTGCATGACCTTGCCAAACAGTTTGATCTAAAGTTCATATACAAGAATATGTATATAAAATATATGTTGTCAAATGACTACTTGTAAAATTCTGTCTTTACTGTTTTCGTATTCTTGTTATTATCCATCGTAAAAAAGTGTATAGATATCTCTTTGATGGCTTATTTCTTTGGATTTATTTGTTTATGTTCCCTTGTTATACTTTAAACAATATAATCACATGTTTGGTAAATTATTTATCGAAATATCACTCACAAGTATGATGATAGACAATACCACGTCCTATTAATCTAACTCCAAGTTGATGAAATCGTTTGAAGTAATGACCAGAAATCGTCAGACCAGAACTCTCATGATGTTCAGTTATTTGACTTTCTTGTTGTCTCTCAGATACATGTCCATGTCTGCTCATACGCCATTCCCTATCAAAGTTGTGCCTATCGACTGATAAATGACTGGATTTACGACCTAGTGCAAATGGGTGAATCTGTTTATGTATATGGCGACGTGTATGCTTGTGTAGATTAACTTGTTTGTAATGATTGTGATGGACTACATGATTGCGATTGTGATGTACAAAATGACGGCGATTGTGATGTACTACATGACGGCGACTGTGATGTACTACATTACGGCGATTGTGATGTACTACATGACGGCGATTATGATGTACAAAATGACGGCGATTGTGATGTACTACATGACGGCGATTGTGATGTTCTACATGACGGCGACTTTGACGTATTACATGACGGCGATTGTGATGTATTACATGATGGCGATTGTGATGTACAAAATGACGGCGATTGTGATGTACTACATGATGGCGATTGTGATGTACTACATGACGCCGATCGTGATGTATAACATGATGGCGATTGTGATGTTCAAAATGACGGCGATAGTGATGTACTACATGATGGCGATTTTGATGTACTACATGACGGTGATTGTGATGTACTACATGATGGCGATTGTGATGTACTACATGACGGCGATTGTGATGTTCTACATGACGGCGACTTTGACGTATTACATGACGGCGATTGTGATGTATTACATGATGGCGATTGTGATGTACAAAATGACGGCGATTGTGATGTACTACATGATGGCGATTGTGATGTACTACATGACGCCGATCGTGATGTATAACATGATGGCGATTGTGATGTTCAAAATGACGGCGATAGTGATGTACTACATGATGGCGATTTTGATGTACTACATGACGGTGATTGTGATGTACTACATGATGGCGATTGTGATGTACTACATAACGGCGATTGTGATGTACTACATGATGGCGATTGTAATGTTCAACATGACGGAGATTGTGGTGTACTGTATGATGGCGATTGTAATGTCCTACATGATGGCGATTGTGATGTCCTACATGATTGCGATTGTGATGTACTACATGACGGCGATTGTGATGCATTACATGATTGCGGTGTGCATACATTTCCTTATGTTTTTCCATGTCTTGCAAATAACTATAAGTATGGGGTCGTCGTTTGTGGTAATATATTGCAGTATGAAGACGAGGTCTGGAACTGGAAAGATGGTGATAGTTATGGTTTATAATATGATGAATGCGTTTCTTGTTCACATAACGTTTGGCCTGGTAGCTATGTTGAAAGGTTTCGAAAGGATTCCTCCATTTATGGCTTGCTATATGATGAATCTTTGAATGATGATCGTGCAGCCGGCTCTCTAAATAGGGAATTCGCAAACGGCCTTCTGCGTGGTGACCATGGTTAACAATTTCAATACCGTGCTTGTGTCTTAAATGTCTGTGCGAGTGTCCATATTTATCAAAATTGTCTGAAAATTAAAATCATTTGAAAAAGATTAAATTAATGCACTTGTTTGTTTTCTGGTCGTTTTTCTTTTTTTTTCAAGGCGTTGTCAATTTCCCTTCGACTTTTGAATTTCCCTTGTTATCTTTCACCGCTTTTTACTATGTATAATTCGTTAAAAATTTACATAAATCGCTTTTTTCATTAATCTTCATCAGGAACGCTCAAATCCAAATATTTTAAAACCAAGGCTGTATAAGAACCGAAACAGTTGAAGAGCTATATGTCTAAAAAAGGACATAAAAATAATAGCTAAATCCATCTGAGATCAAATTTGCCTGTGGGAGTTGCAACCTTAGTTTATTAATAATTTCTAAATCTATAAACGGACAATTTAAGAAAGGTATGCATAAATCATGTCAGTACCAACGTACTGACTACTGAGATGATGGTACTGTCGGGAACCAATAGTCCAACAGCTGCGGTATCGACTCAGTGCTTTAAAAAATGAAAATTAAGTCATCATTGATCTATACGAGGCAAAGGTATAAACTGAAGTTCATTTTGAATATAAAAAATAAGTTAAAGTAACTTACGTACTTGAATAATAGTTGGAGTTAAACGCCATTTTCACTCTTTATGCTATATCGTGGTTGTCAGTTTTTATAAGTGGGGGAAGCCGGAGTGCTCTGATAGAAGAATCGACCTTTGGCAGATTTGTTTTTTAAATTTTGAAATATGAGGATATTACAAATAGAACACATGACTTTTTCAAAGGTAATATTTCCGAAATCAACTTGCAATTTTGTCGCTTTTAAAAACACTGACAGACAGGAATTATTTGCCTTTTACCTTTAGACGTTTAACCTTGAATTTCAAATGTTTTACTTTGAGCGTTCTTGATGATCGTATATCAAAAAAAGGCACGTCCGACGCATAAAATCTATTCAGTGTTATTTTCTTCTAATATAAGCTATTTCTTCTAATACTGCTGTACCGTTCAGTAATCTTAGTTTTATGTCGTAGTATGACCATGAACAAATCACAACTAAACTGTATATAGTTTATATATTTGCTATCATTAATATTTTGGTTTAGTACTAATAAGTCAAAACTCTTATGTTATCTTTTAAAATCAATTTAATTTACTTGTTTTAGTATGCTAAATTGTTTACACAGATTCCGAAGCATATTATTTATTTCTTGTATTTTTACAAAATTTCTATCACAAACACATCCATTAGTTTCAAATCGTTACGTGTCTACTGTTTTTATAATAAGATGATTTTAAACTTCCACCCAAAATTTTAAATCAAATAACCAATTAAATGATGTTTTAATACTATTGTTAGAGAAGTGTTGTTTCAAATTATAACTGCGAAAATAGCACAGACGTGTAAAAGTCAACATTTTTACTTTCATAATCGAAAATTCGCTTATTGAATATGTACATGTATTTTTGAGGGTTTTAGATTACACCTCAGTCTTATTAAAATAACATGTTAGTTTGCTTTAACAACAACTGGTACGAAGTTTGAGAAACGTTCAATTCGTGGTCAAATTTCAAATCAGATCATAAACTTTCATCACACAACTTTCGTCCAATCAGACATCAGCTCTTAAACGGTATTCGAAAAGTTACACTACATAATGCAGAGGATTTAGTTTTTTGCCTTTTAAAATCGTTTTTTCAAAATACTTATAGCGGGAAGCATATATCTTAGTATCATCAATATGAATATTTTCAAACAATTACACTAAATGATGTAGATGATGTGGCAACCTTTTTGTCGTTCATTCCACGGCCAACTGATTCCGGGAACATTCAAACTAATGTATGTCACTATGCAATATCGCTAAAAAAAGTCATGATACAAATCACACATTCACCAAAATCCAACAAAAAATACGCTAACCAAGAATGACGTTAAACGCAAACACAGAAATAACTTATATTTAACTGTTATATTTGAAATGTATGCAGTAATAAAAAAGATACAAAAAGGAATATTTTCCTTAGTTTAAATAAGTTCCTTAGTTATCCATTGGATATTGCACGTATGTCGTTTTTTACATGCCGATTGCAGTCAGTAGGTTTAGTTTGCCAGTTTACCAACAGTGAATTTTTTGTTTCGTCTTATAATATTAGTTACACGGTGTGTTAGTGACCTAATACGATATATATGGGGTCAGTAAATTCCATATGGGGAGAGAGCGAAACTCGAATCCCCATATGGAATTTACTGACCCCATTTATACCGTATTCGGTCATTAGTACACCGTGTAACGCATTTATCTTACCGACTATCTTCACATGTGGTATTTAGACTAGCGGCCTATCAAAGTCATTAAGTCTCGAATACTTAGTATTAAGAACATACTTCCATTTGTCTATATAAAAAGCAAATGCCAACAATAACAACTTGTTAGTTTTCAATTTGTTTTATGAATTTATTTCAATCGTTCATTATCAATTTCTTCGTCTGTTGAAACCTTTCAGATTTCTTTTTTGTTATGAAAGGGAAGTTACTTCTTACTAACCCTATATGGTAACTAAACCCATATTTTTTAGGACACCCTATATCAAATATATATTTAGGCACCACGTGTAGTCCTTGTAACCAATCATATCCCCAGAAATCTATAGGAGGTAAGATAAATGCTAATATAAAGGTAGGATGTAACAATATACTCCTCTTACTCTGTTCTGTAATACATATTGATTTTCCCTAAATTGATGACTTAACTTTTAGACGACACATATTCATGAGTAGTCATATAAGTGATTGTGATAGTACGTTCTACTTACAACCATGACTGATCACTTTTTGGTTTCTATATGAATGTGCAGTTCCAAGTAGCCCTTTCTTTTGTAACTTGTTAATACATTTACTTGTGCGTCCGTAACTGTTCACACATACCGTCATATACTTTATGAAAGTCTTTCGCACAACGTGATACTTTAGATCTATAAACATAAACAAGCAATTTTGTATAATAGGTATTTCAAATTAAAATGAACATAACAATTATAATTTATCAAATATTTCTTGCATTTATTAGATCGATAATGTTAAGTCTAATTAATTAACATTTTACTTGAACTCAGTAAACATAACATTGACAAATTTAAAACCGGGGTATTCATTTAATAGAAAAATATACTTAAATTATATATTCAAAATTTTACGCACTATTACCATGATTACGACATAATACTAGTGTACGAAAATAAAAAGTTGATGAATATTTACAAAAATATGTTATGACGTTCACAAGTCAGTACAGATAATTGTATATTTACTCATAATAGTTTCTATAGATAAATCCTTTACTTACAAATTTTACACCTAGACCAAATCCATTCAAAATTTTACGCGCTATTACGACATTATACTAGTGTACGAAAATACAAAGTTGATGAATATTTAAAAAAAAAATGTTATGACGTTCACAAGTCAGTACAGATAATTGTATATTTACTCACAATAGTTTCCATAGATAATTCCTTTTCTTACAAATTTTACACCTAGACCAAATCCCTGACCATATCTTTTATATCTGTGTCGTTTGCCTATCAATCCGCGTCCATACAATCTTGGAAAACAGGCATCGATTCCACCATATATTCTAATACATTTCTTCATTGAAATGTAAAGTCTTCTTTCACTACAGCGTAGTTTATAAACTACAAAAATGTATATATTCAGCACTGTAGAACTAAAAACTCGTATTAATAAAAACAATTAAAACATTTACTACAGAATCGTATCCAAAGTCAAAGTTCTTTACATGTGACAAGTCAAATATGACTGATGAACGATTAAATTCGTATTTTCCTTTAAAGTATTTATAAAGTTCTGACCTTTTACTATATCAACAGATATATTTTGAAGAAATGTTACACTGATTAACTTTTGCTTACTGAAAATTATGCTACTTCAAAGAACATTATAGAATTTTGATAAGATGATAATACAACGCGATATAACTCTATAAGTATTTCAGTTATATCGAGCAATTCATTTTATGAATATAGATATTAAACGGATCAATTTTCGCCATTTATCTATAGTAATACATAAAAAATATAATAAATAAAATGATTTCTCATCAAATAACTAAAGGTATATTTGCCAATCAATCAATCATCAAATAAGGTCATAGGTGACTCCTGGTTTATATTCTTGTATTCATTCATCGAAAACAATATACGGTTTTCATGGCTGGTTGCTCCGGGTTAATTCGGTTTAAATCCAATTGTTTTACTTCAAATAAGATTGAAGCATGTTTTAAATTTAATTTATCAAAATATCACTCACAATTTGTATGATATACTATGCTCCGTCCTATTAAGCGAACTCCAAGTTGATGAAATAGTTTCAAGTAATGACCAGCAATGGCCAGACCAGAACTCTCATGATGTTCAGTTATTTGACTTTCTTGTTGTCTCTCAGATACATGTGTATGCCTACTCAAATGCCATTCTCTATCAAAAATGCGCTTATTGACTGCTAAATGGCTGGGTTTATGACCAACAGTAGATAGATGAATTTGTTTATGCATATGGCGGTGTGTATGTTTCCGTAGATCCCTGTGTGTGTAATGATTGTGATATACTACATGATGGTGGTGTCCATACAGTTTCTTATGTTTTTTAATGCCGAACAAATAACTATCAGTATGGGAACTTCGTTTGTGGTGTAGTTTTCTTAATTTGTTGAGTTCCCTTTGATGTCTTATTACATATCTGTGAGAGTGGTGAGAGTGTCCATATTCTTCAAATTTGTCTGAAAATTAAAATTATTTAAAAAAGGAAGATACTTTAAAAAGGAAGATACATGTATTTGAAAAGTTAAAGACTTAATAGGTACCAAATTGTTTATTTAGCATTGATCTATTAAAGGCAAAGTAGTTTACATAATTCTGGGTCAAAGAGTAGAACATTGGAGAAAACAATGTAGTTTTGTTAAAATACAATTATGAATAAGCACTAAAAGAAATATGGTCATTATAAACCATTTTCTTTATTTCCGTTTACAATCCTAAACGAATATACGTGCTATGCAGTCTCCTTAGTACAATTTTAATGAAATATGAAACGAATTTCTCTTTGATTGATTTACGCCTGTCCTTAATTGCAGGACAGTTGATGATCGGAGTCATAGGTTACAATTTTGTACAATTACAGTGATCTTGAATGTGTTTTTTTAAAAGTTATGTGAAATATATTCAATGTTTTAGAATAGCAAACTGTGAGAAGATTTCCAGATGTCACTGTTTATTTTGTCAGTTCAAATTTAAACTGGTCTCATTTAATTTCAAAGTTATAATTGTGAAAAAATATCTTTTAAGTATATAAGAAATATGATGATTTGAAATAATATTCACATAAGTACACTGTGTATCATCGCCACCGGAAATTGGGTACAAACGAAGCGGAGAGAAATGGAAAAAAAAGTAAACAAGGTAAGAATTTATCAATTTAAAGCATTTCTACTGATTTGACGAGGGTACCTCTTAAGAAATGATTTTCTGATATATAATTCTTTAAATTATTAGGCCGATAAGTACAAAATTAAGACAATATTTTGTGTTATACTCCAAAGCTTGCCACTTAGTACCTGAAAATTTCGAGGTCGATTGTCCTCTGTCGCCCCATTGGCAAGATATTCAACTGTTTTTCATTATTTTCCCAGACACGTTTTTAGATTATGATAGTGAGACATCATATTGACTGAAATCTGTTGTCATAAAGATGTTTTTAAAGAATATGGACCAAAACATTGTTTGTTTATTGTACGGCGAATTGCAGGACGTTGTACGGCGAATGGCAAAATAACAACTTTTGTCTGTACGGCGTCTTGCAATATATTGTAATTTAAAGATGAAATTAATCACTGTTCAGATAATATCAAGTGACGAAATTTTGGCTGTATCTAAGCTTTACCGGCTTACAAATATACAAAATAAACTACTTATCAAATATTATAAGATATATGCCGTTAATTTCGTTCAGAAGTCGTCGTTGCGTACCTCTATTTGACTTTGTGTTTTAAAAGGTTTTTTTCAACCATATTACCCTAAATACATTCATATATCGTTATAATACTAACGACTGTTGTCTTATTTGTTGTCAGGGTGAAATTTTGTAAGTTCAATAAAAAAAAAACGACCATTCATCTTTTTTTTTTTTTTTAAATATAAACAGTGGAGATGTTGTATGATTGCAAATAAGATAACTATCCACCAGGGTCAAATAAATTGTATGTAAGCAATTATATGCTATCGTTTGGCCTTCAACAACGAAAAATCGTACCTTACAGTCGGCTATAAAAAGCCCCAACATGAAAATTGTGGAAGGATTCAACAAGAAAACTAACGGCCTAACTCATAACAAAACAATTTACGAAAAATAACAAATATGATAGAGATGAACCAACGACAACCATCAAACTACAGGCTCGTGGCTTCGGACAGACACGTAAAGAATGTGCTGGGTTAAATAGATATAGGAAGATGTGGTATGAGTGCCAATGAGACAACTCTCCATCCAAGTCACAATTTATAAAAGTAAACCATTATAGGTCAAGGTACGGTCTTCAACATTGTTTATTGTTTATTTTTTAAATTTCTGAAATGAATAATTTGTTAAAAGAAGAGTGAAGAAAATACTTTGTTTTCATTGAAAATTAGGAGAAATAAATCATGAATTGTGTTTCGAATTAATTTTCTTGTTTGTTATTGAAAATAAGATTGTATTTTTTTTTTTTTTTTTTAGTTTAAGTAAATTCAATCAATCTTTTTATTTACAGGGAAAAAATAATAAAAGACTGTTTCTAAGGCTGTTTGGCCTAAATTTAAATGAGTAGATGGAGGGGTAGTGAAAAGGAGTGTATTCGTCCGAATTTTCATTGTTACAGTAGTACATTTTCATGATTACTATGTATAATATTTCTCAGTAAATTTTAATGTGATATTGTGCCAATTAAAATTATATAATTAATACAAGTAAGACTTGCATTTGCCTTAAAAGATATAGCGGTACGTGATTATTTGTTTTCAAACACACCTTCTCTGTTTTGAAACTTATTAAGGTATGGATCTCGGCCTATCTGTTTGGTTGAATACAAATGTGAATTCATAGAGTTTCAAAATCAACAGTAAGCCCTATTTGTGTGTGTGTGTAAATAGTCTAATCTTTAGATAGATGCTTAAATTAAAATCATTTTTCTTAATAAGAAGAAAAAAGTGCAACTTAAGCACGCCTGAATGTAAAAAGGTGTACCCGACTTATTCGTTCACGATAAGAATTTACCGATTTCGGTATTTTAACAAAACTGTTTACGAGGGCAAATAAATAAATAAATGAACGCTATCAAATCAACAGTTAAATTTACGTGGATTTTTCCAAAAGAATTTATGAGTATGCACTATCAGGATTAAAAAATATTTCAACCTGTCCTTATTAGATGTTATTTCATTATCATTTTTTAAACTTACAAGTCGAAGATGCTAGCTTTTGTGAATTGTATTAATAAGTATATAATATTAAGATGACAACCAAAAAAAACTTCATACAAGGTCATCTTTATTCTCAAGTAGAAAGTTTATATAAATAGTGTATGCCGTAGCCACAGCCGGATTTGTATCCCTTGTATCGGATTCTTCTTTCATTCTTTCCAAAAATGATTAATCTAAGGTTAATATTTTTTTTGAATTTAAACAGTGTTAGCCACCGAGCTTGTTCATTTCTTACTATATAGAGATGAAGTTTTTTTTAGAGAAAATTAATGTTCTTTATTCTAATATATTGGCTGTATCTGCCTTTTACAAATAAGACAATAACATTTAATTGAAAAAGGAGACGTGGAATGGTTTTCACTGAGAGGAATTTCAAACAAAGTCCAAATGAAATAGATTTGACCAACTATTGGTTACTATACACTTCACAATGAACAAAACCCATACCGTATCAAAATTGCCTGATTTATGACAAAATCATAAACAAATATGTCAGGCAGCAACTTATGACAGCCGCTATATTACATGTTCCTGACCAGGGACAGACACATATATATTGAGGCGGGCTTGAACATGTTTGTGAGCACTCAAACCTCCCTTAACATGGTGCCGTGGTGTAGCAATACAACATTTTGTTTTGCAGAGAATGATAATTCATTTATATTTCATTTTATCTGAAAGTTGAAAGAGAATTCATTCACTTAATGGTTCTAAATATTCAAATCGGAAAAATTCTCCTGCCATTACCTCCTTCCTTCCCTCCATCCACAACCCATCCCCGAAATGTTCATCACTTATATGCAAATGCTGACTAATGTTGTATGGTTAAAACATTTGATTGAGGCAATCTAAAGTTTGCGAACAGAAACGACAGCTTTAGCTTTTTTTTCATTTATAAAAGGGCATAACTCAAGAACGGTAACAGTGACGCTACCCAATTTATAAATTGATCTGTGTTTTGTGGTGATAAGCATTTCGTGTAAGTTTTAAAACATTTGGTTAAGGCATACTAAAGTTAGAGAACGGAAACCAATTATTGGGACTTTCTGGACGGACGGGAGAGACGTGTCGGACGGACATGGGTAACATTTAACGCTACGTCAGGGCAGAACAACAGGTCAGTAAAAAAGTGACATGCCTTTCCGAAAGTTACAACATTTGCCAGCTTTTGTATATGCCGTATTCATATTGTATACATCAGGTATGTAAAAGATGTAATAGGACTGTGTTCAAGCCTTATATTGTTTATACATCTTAAATGGTGTCAAGCAAATTGTATTTTTATCAAATGCATAATTAGATATTTGAACCTAATACTTTATTTTCTTTAAAAAGACGGCAAATAAATATTTTGAAATTAGCAAGTTGCCATACAGTTGAAAACAAGTTGCCATACAGTAAATTTGTCAACATGAGCAAGTTGCCGTACCCTAGACTTTATTTTTTATGGTCTTTATTCTTTAAAAACGTTCATTTTGACAACAAATTTCAGTGAATATGATGCCACACTATAATAATCTAAAAAAGTGTCTGGAAAAATAATGAAAAACAGTTGAATATCTTGCCAATGGGGCGACAGAGGACGATCGACCTCGAAATTTTCAGGTACTAAGTGGCAAGTTCTTGAGTATAACACAAAATCTTGTCTTAATTTTGTACTTATCGGCCTAATAATTTAAAGAATTATATATCAGAAAATCATTTCTTAAGCGGTACCCACGTCAAATCAGTAGAAATGCTTTAAATTGAATGAATTCTTACCTTGTTCACTTTTTTTTCCATTTCTCTCCGCTTCGTTAGTACCCAATTTCCGGTGGCGATGATACACAGTGAAGTAGCTCACTATAATATTTCTATACCCGAATGATCATTTATGCCTTTACCAAGACGAATAATTGAATAAATTTGATACAAATACTACCATATTATTAACATCAACTAATGAAGTATTTGTTGTATCTAACTATATACTAAAATTCTACGGATTGGTCTCTTTTCACTTTAAAAAGGAAGATACATGTATTAGATATTAATTTGAAGAAACCAAATGCAGTTTAGACGGATATGTACCAATAGTCGTAACTACAATCTCGTCCCCTTTCCCCCGAATGTGACCTACCGAATTAGACATATCACCGGGTTTGTACTTACATGAGTAACACGACGGGTGACACATATGGAGCAGGATCTGCTTATCCTTCCGGAGCACCTGAGATCACCCTTAATTGTTGTTGGGGTTCGTGTAGCTCAGTCTTTGGTTTACTATGTTTTGTACTGTTGTTTGTCTGTTTGTCTTTTTCTTTTTTAGCCATGGAGTTTTCAGTTTATTTTCGACTTATAGAGTTTAAATGTCCCTTTGGTATCCTTCGCCTCTCTTTTACAATTCAGCAAAAAATCACTTATGTTTCATGTACATTACTGTCATCCCTTCTCACGTAATTATCATTTCTAGAAACTGTTTAATATTTGATGACTGAGAACTTGTAGTCGCAATACATTCGCATTTTTTTCTACTCGTCATGATATCTAAACTTTATTTAGCCTAAGAATATATAATAAGAAAAGATAAACCTCAAACATAATGAAATCGTTACTATTTGGATTAAGTGTGAATAAATTTAAATATTTTAACGATAATTATATTATTATATTACCAAAAATACGATGATGATGATGCCTCTTGAGATGACGGTGGTATCGGTGATGCATGTTGAGATGACGGTGGTTTTGGCGATGCTTGTTGAGATTACTTTGGTGACGATGACCAAACATTTTCTTGAGATAACGATGGTGATGATGCATGTTTGAATGTTGCTGATGGTGCCTATGGTAAGTGTGAAACTTTTGTTGGTAATACTGAACCAAATGTTTTTCTAATAGTTGTTTCCAAAGTATATGATGTTGGTGAAACCTATGGAAGCGATGGTTGTGGTGATATCGAACCCAGTGTTTTTGTAGCTGGTGCTTCCAAAGTCTATAATGTTGTTGAAACCTACGGAAGTGATGGTGGTGGTGAAACCGAACCCAATGCTTTTCTTGCTGGTGTGTCCTTATCTTATTTTGATATCGGAAAAGCTTATGGTATTTGTGAAACGTACGGGATTGGTTCTTGTGAAAGTGCATCCAACGCTTTTGTTGCAGATACCGATGGTGGTGAAACGTACGCAAATGTTTACGACGTTGCTGAAAAAACCTTCTCACATGGAGATGGCTGTGTTGAAGAAAATTATGCACATGTTTATGACGGTGGTGAAGAAACCTTCTTACATGGTGATTGCGGTGGTGGTGAAACCTACGCACATGTTTACGACGGTGATGAAGAAACCTTCGTACATGGTGATGGTGGTGGTGGTGGAACCTACGCACATGTTTATGACGGTGATGAAGAAACATTTGCTCATAGTGATGGCGGTGGTGGTGAAACCTACGTAAGTGGTATTGAGAAAACGTTTGCCAACGCTGGTGTTTCTGGTGTAGATAAAGCGTATTTTTATGATGGTGGTTGCGTAAGTGAACCCAACGATTTTGCTGACGACGATAACGAGGGTGAAGATAGCTGTTCACATGACGATGACGACCATGTTTGTTGAGATATCGACTGTGAAGATGTCTGTTTAGGTGACGGTGGTACTGAAGATGATTCTTATGGTGGTAGTTAAACCTACGGAAATGATTATGGTGACTCCAGTCTTTTTTTTGCTGATGTTTCAAAAGGACATGCTGGTGGTGAAACTTAACCCAACGTTTTTGCCTCTGGTATTGTAGAAGTCTTTGGTAAGTATTAAACTTACGGAAATGGTTGTCGGTATGGCGAACCCAAAGTTTGTGTTGCTGATGTTTCCAAAGCCTGTGTTGTTGGTGAAATAAACGGATGTGGTGAAAGTGATTATACCGAATCAAACGCTTTTGTTCCTTATTATGACGAAAAGTTTCATGTCGTTTAAACCTACGAACATGGTGGTGGTGAATCTTTACCGAACGCTTTTTCAGTTGATATCGTTGAAGTCTACTGTGTAGGTGAAACCTACGCAAATGATGACGTCTGTGGCGATGCAACCTATGCATATGGTGATGGAGGCGATGGTGAAACCTTTGGACATGGTGTTTCGAATGCTTAAGCCAACACTTGTGTTCCTGATGTATAACAAGCCTATGACTATGAGAAAACCTACGGATGTGGAAATGGTGATTATACCGAATCAAACGCTTTTTTCCCTGATATCGACGAAGACTATTGTGTTGGTGAAACCTTCGAACATGGCGATTGTGCAACTTAATCCAACGCCTTTGTAGCTCATATCGTTGAAGTCTACGATGGTGATGAAATCTACGTATATGCTCACGACTGTGGCGTTGAAACCTACGCACATGGTGGTGGCGGTGATTCAGAAACCTACGGATTTGGCGAGTAGAGTACTTGTGTTTCTGATGTAAATGAAATCTATGATTATGATAAAATCTACGGATGTGGTGATGGTGATTATACTTTATCAAACGCTTATCTTTATGATATTGAAGAAGCTTATGGTATTGGTGAAACGTACGGACATGGTGATGGTGAAACTTTACCCAAAGTTTTTTCTCCTGATAGTGTCGATGTTTATGGTGGTTATGAAACTTACGAACGTGATGGGGGTTATGCCGAACCCAAAGTTTGTTTTGCTGATTTTTCCAAATCCTGTGTTGTTGATGAAATATACGAATGTGGTGATAGTGATTTAACCGAAGCAATCGCTTTTGTTCTTTATGACGACGAAGACCTTCGAGTCGATTAAACCTCCGAACGTGGTGGTGATGAACCTGTACCAACTGCTTTTGCAAGTGATTTCGTTGAAGTCTATTGTGTAGGAGAATCCTACGCAAATGGTGACTACTGTGGCGATGAAACCTACGCATATGGTGATGGCGGTGATGATGAAACCGGTGGATGTGCTGTTTCAAATTTTTAACCAAACGCTTGTGTTCCTTATGTAAATGAAGCCTATGGTGAAACCTATGGATGCGCTGATGATGGTCATACTGAATCAAATGCTTTTGTTCCTGATAATGAAGAAGACTATGGTGTCGGTAAATCCTACGGACATGACGGTGGTGAAGTTTAACCCAACGCTTGTGCAGTTGATATCGTTGGAGTCTACGGTGATGGTGAAATCTACGCATAAGGTAGCGACGGTGGCGATGAAACCTGCGCACATGGTGGTGATGGTGATTGCGAAATCTACTGGTTTGTTGTTTAGAATACTTTTGTTCATGATAAAACCTACTGTTGTGGTGATGGTGATTATACTGATTCAAATGCTTTTGTTTCTGATGTCGAAGAAGCATATGGTATTGATTTAACGTACGGATACGACGGTGGTGTAAGTGAAGCCAACGTATTTGATGTTGATTTCGTTGAAGTCTATGTTGGTGGTGAAACCTGTGGATATGGAAGTGTCGGTGCTTGGAAAACCTACGAATATGGCGTTTAAAATACTTCAGCCAACGCTTTTGTTTCTGGTGTAAATAAATATTATGGTGGTGGTAAAACCTACTGATGTTTTGGTCATAATTTAGCATAAGCTGGTGTTTCTTATATCGATGTAGTCGGATTAAATCTCGATATTGACGCCTACTGTGACGGTGATAATGAACTAAACGAAGGTTATGAAGTCTATGGTGGTTGTTATGGTAATGGATCATACGATACTTGTATCGATGAAGCCAACGGTGATAGTGACCATATATCACACGGTGATAGGTACCAAGTATCGCACTTGGATGGTGACCAATTATCACATGGTGATGATCGTTATATTTGCAGTGACGATGGTGACAAAAACGTCGACATCGTTGCCGTAGCAATTTGCATTTCGGGTGATGCCGTAACTTTCTACAATGATGATAACGACCAGTTCCGCCTGAAATTTTGCAAAAGAAATAAACTCATTTGATTAAACATTATAAAAACTTAATTACGGTACTTTAGTACCTAATAATCTAAAAATATTTTCGAAAGTAATTGAGCAGACATTCTTTTTTAATTGTTTAATATTCGGATTTAATTCTCCAAAACATTTGAGTGTATCTGTAAATTGCATATTTTTTAATGTTTCAATATAATGTATACAACAAATTTTAGAAGTAGTTGAAGTCACAGCTTAGTACACAGACATATTTTATTCCAGGAAAACATAGATTATTGAATAGTAACAAATGGGCTTTTAGTAGTTGCGAGTAGATCTGTACTTTCCACATTAATAATTAGGAACTATTTTTTTTAAATTTTCAAGCATTATATGTAATTATGATTGTCACAAATAAAAAGCAAGTATTTTGTTTTTATTTACCAACGTCTATAGATATATCAAGGTGAATTTTGATTGGTCCACTGAATGTCTGACCACCTCCAACAGTTATAGATCTATCAAAGCTACTTTTACCACAACCTGAAAAATTAAAAAATACACATTGTGTTCCAAAACATAAATATTTGTTTGTTTATAAAGTTGTATGTGCCTTGTCATCAATTATATTTTGGTCTTTTTATATGAAATATAATTTTGGGTTTGAAACATTTTTTTTGTAACCTGATACATAATATATGCATTTTACTAAAATCAAATTTTCCATAAAGTTGGTGGACAAAAAGCAATATTCTTCAAAAATAACCGACAGTAACGCTTTGTAAAAAAGTATAGCAAAAAGCTCCAAGGCAAATTCAAAAAGGGGAAGTCCATAAAAACGGACAAAATCAAACGCTATCAGTCACTGGAACAAGTGAAAAACAACTACCATATTCCTGATTTGGTTCAGACATTTTCCAAAGAAAATTATAGGTTAAACCTGGCTTTATAGCTAGATAAATATCCTACTTGTATGACTGTTGTATATAGTTCCGTTATATTGACAATTGGGTGAACAACCCGAACAGACATTATAGATTAATATGACAATATTTTGGATCTAGCAGCCACAATTGTGTAAATATACACCACAGACATACGACAAAGCTGACCAAAAATTCAGGTAAACATACAAATAAATCTTACGACGCCAACAAAAAAAGTGCTGAAGTAGATGGTAAATTTAACAAAGACAACAAAATTTTTTTTGTCGTTGATAGTAAATTGACACGGACCCCGATAAAAAATTTATTTTTTGTCAATTTTTTATCATTGATACATTAAGTACATATCGTATAAAGTATACACTTTCTCGATAATGTGAAAAATATAAATACAATGGTAAACAAAATAAACACGGTAAATAAAACCCTGTGGTGTCCGAATTGCACCTCAGGACCCACCTGCACCTGGAACACCCAAAGTAAAAATAACGATGGCGGGATGCATATTGAAATACCTAAGTCACATTAAAAGTCAGACGACCAAAAGAAACAAAACAGCATGAAGACAAATAACGATGAAACTAAAGTAAAATAAAAACGATACCTAGCTTCAGCACCTAGAATCTATTACTCAAGACCATATTGTATTATTTGTGAAGTAGACACCGAATATTTAACTATACGTTCTTGGCACTTTCCGATGAACTTTTTGAGAAAAAGGACAAGACGTTTTTTGACAAATCACTGGCTTGTCAATTTTTTGCTGAGACACCGGTGACGTTTAACAAAGTCTGAGTAGCAGCTGCAAAGCTCTTGAATATCAGATGAGTTGAGAAATGTATACTCCATCCGCAGGTGAAGTTGATATATTGCTGCTAAGGTGAGGATAATTTATAATTTCAAATTGAAATCGTCTCGTTTGTCATAGATCCTGGTTCTGAGATGATCGGTGTTTTAAAATTCGACGTAAATGTCTAGAAATGAGGCGGAGGAAGCTTTATAAGTGGTTTCAGGAGGATATATCAATGGGACCCAATCAGAAAACCGGTTTGAATTACTAATGGAAAGAACATCATTAATATACCTGTACAGTGTGAAATTGAATAATCTAACTTCTTTCATTCATTTATTCCCAATTCTTTGATAAGACACTCGTAGTAATAAAGCTATCTTACATTTTGACTAAAGGTACGAACGAATGTAAAGGGGGCATGTATTACATTCCCACAACAACACTTTTCTTAATGAAATGTATCTTACACAATTTTAAGTATATCGCAAATTAAACAACCATTTAAGTAGACGAAACGCGCGTCTGGCGTAAATATAAAATTTCAATCCTGGTATCTATGATGAGTTTTTTATTAATAACTAAAGGTCCTAAGTCAGGCATCTGATGTTCAGTAGTTGTCGTTTGTTGATGTGGTTCATAAGTGTTTCTCGTTTCTCGTTTTTTATATAGATTAGACCGTTGGTTTTCCCGTTTGAATCGTTTTACACTACTAATTTTTGGGGCCCTTTATAGCTTGCTGTTCGGTGTGAGCCAAGGCTCCGTGTTGAAGACCGTACTTTGACTTATAATGATTTACTTTTAAATATTTTGACTTAGATGGAGAGTTGTCTCATTTGCACTCATACGACATCTTCTTATATCAATATAAAGAAAAATCGTGTAAAATACACTTACGTACAATACGTTGATTATGTAAATCACAATTACACATATTTGCGCGGGAATTGTTCAAGCACATAGTTTCTAAATGTTTATAACATTAACTACAACTAGTTCAATGAAATTCGCGAAGTATGAATGATACTCTAAATTTAACGACAAAATTCACAATATTTATTTTTTGTTTCTTTTAAGGAATATTCGAATTTGGAGACCTAGAATAGTAGTTAAGACATATGTCTGTCGAGTGGAGACACATCGGGTGCGCCCTAATCTCTGAATCCGTCCTGGCGCTCTTATCATATATCAAATAATTATAGATCTTGATTTTCACATTTTAACATATATAAAATATATATCGAGAAAACACATGAACAATCTTGCACTACATATATTCTGGAGGTAATACTAATGTTTAACAATAGAATGCTTGAACGTAAACGCTGAATTAACGATTCCATATGTAGACCTACCACTGGTATAAGGACTCACCACAAGGCGTCAAGTGACATTACCCACTCGATCCACAAAATTTTTTAACGACCCTCGTATTATATTTGTTGGTGTCATTTGTTTTCAATTTTACTATTTTCACGAACTTATTTAATTTAATTCTATTAGGGGGGAAATATTTTGAAGGATATTTTTTCTGACAATTTCTAAAATATCGAAACCAGAGTTTGTCAGAATCTGTCTCTTTATAAAAGTTGAAAATTGAGATAAAACTATCGCTTCCATTTAATTTCTAAACAAAATATTTTTCATTTATTATAAAATGTATTGATAAAAAAAATCCTTATATATGTTGTTTTTTAGAATTAATTAAATTATATTTTATTTATGCATATTTAGGACGAGAAGATGAATATGAACAAGACTTTGTATTTTACTGCAGGAAGACATGTCATCATACCCGGACACATGAGTTTGACCCCTGACCGACCAATCTTTGCTCTTACTCCTAACTCCTAAATGTTGCGTGCTTGGCAGAGAGGCAGCCAGTCTTCGATTTGAAACGGGCCAGGAACGAGCCCAAGACTTCCCGCACTCGAGCAGTGGTGTAGCTTCCATTGACGCAATGAGGCAACCGCCTCACCAAATTTTTTACCATTAAAAAAGACAGATAAAGAGAATTATATAAGGTATACTGAGTGACGACGGTTCAAAACGTTGACTGATTTACTCTTTATTCACTCATTCCTCATTATTAACGTCTTGAAAACTTTCTTTCATAAAATGAACAAGGTAGATGCAAATATTTTTTTAAGTAACAGACAAAGTATACCTCGCAAAAAACTGATCCAAACAAGAGGTCAGAACTGTGAAACTGATATGATGCTTGCTATTTTTTTGACAACAAACTTGTTACTTTTTGTAAACAAAGTTTTCAACAGACACTTGGCATTCCTACATTTTATGTAGTATTCTTGTACCTTGGTTAATATAAGCATGACTTCATAGTTCACCCTGTTATTATCATCCATACATTTTGACAAAAGCTAAACGTATAAAGTTAAAAGAAATAGTGGATCTTAAACTTAATATCCCTAAATCTGTACAAAAGCATTTTAAAGGAGGTCATACATATAATTCATTCAATTATTTTTGTTTTGATCAGGACCTGTCTGTAACTGTATACTGAGAATTAAACCTTTAACCAGCAGTTTCATTGAAATATATTGATTTAATACGCACTAGAAATATTAATTCTTGATAAAATTCCACAAATCTGTGACCTATAAAGAGTATGATCACCTACACCTATTTTGCGATTCATACTTTCAATTAACCGTCCACTCCCTATTGGCATTGACGTCTTTTAACCAAGGTGAGGCTTTGACTGCCAAAATTCAAATCATTTACTTCACCAGAAATAAAATTCAAGTTACGCTACTGTCGATTGATTGATAGTTGGTTGCTTTACTTTCAGTGGCGAATATTTCATGCATAATTAACGTGTAGAGAGCAATGTCACATTCTCTCTACAAGAGGCATCAGATTTAACGTCCCACTCTGACCGGACGGGACTGCGTACTTGTACATCCCGCACAACCAAACGGACTCCCCACTTTGGCAATGGTTTAACTGCAGATCGGAACAAGACCAATAGTGACCATATTTCTATTGCCCCGATCACCTTTGAAGGGTTACTGTTGAGGCGAGCGCGACCAAAGAGACAGTTATGAATATGGAAGATACATATACTTGTACGTGTATTAATCAAAACATTTGCAACAAGAATGCGTGGCCTCAAGACACCGTGCCCCTTCACATGATCATATTTCTATGTTCAGTGCACCACTTCATCCGGGTAAAACTCTAATTTGATATATAATTTTAAACGTTTTATATTTTAAACAGAACGGAAGAACGGACGGATTCACAGACCAGTAAATATAATATCCCCTTGCTATCATAAGTTGGTCATAAAACTAAAATGATTATCCTACTTAACAAAACTTCAATCAAATATTCCGTACATGTCCGTTTTTCATTCCTTTATGTATAAGTTAATCGCCAAACATTTTAGAAAAACAATTTAAGAGCAATGACATTAAATTACGCATAAATTTGTACGGGCTCTTTCTAGAATCCATGCATCAATATAATTAAAGACAAGATATAAAAAAAATTAACTGATTCAGTAAAGTGTAATTTTTTCTTGAAGATGCGTCCTCATCAATTCCATTTGATAAAATTCTACGGAAAGGTGACAAAGTACTATCAGAAAGATGCATCAGTGATCTAAATCTTTACCTTTGACAAAAGTATCTTGAAATAAATTATAGAAGTATGCTAAAAAAAGGAAGAAGAAGCAAGTCATGTACACCTTTTACATTCCGGCGTGTTTGAAACTCTTGTTTAAATCTTATAACTTTTTAAACAAAAATGAGATCTCGCTTCAGATTCCATCATTTTTATTTTTCAAACTTAATTTTGATTTAGTAGCTTTTATAAATTCATCGTTTGAGAGATAAATATATGGGTCAAGTGAAATGACTAAGTAATGATCGGTGCATTTGATTACCGGTAACTGAATTAATTATTTCCTTTAAAGGTTGTTGTCAATGAAATCATCCCAAATTTAATAACAAAATGTGTAAAGAATTAAAATAGTAGTTTGTGCTAATTTTCAAATAACATCTATTCCAACAACGTATGTGTATTCAACGAGCTAAAAATTCATGCAGTCTATGCTCCCCTCCGTCATCCTTCAGGTTGGTTATGCCGAGTAATGTCATTTTATTGGAAATCTCTATTAGGATTTATATACAAAAACAATATTGTTTAAAGCTTTAAAAAATATTTTATGTAATATTTTTATTTTGTAAATGTATGCGTCCAAAACCCTTTTTCTGGATTTATTTCAGGAACGCTCTAATTTAAATATTTGAAAAACAAGAATGTATGATTAGCGTCTGAAACCCTTTTTCTGGATTTATCTTTGTCAGGAACGCTTAAATTTGAATATTTGAAAGACAAGGATGTATGATTACTGAAACATTTGAAGAGCTTTATGACCAACAGGGACCTAAACATAATAGACAAGTCCATCAACTTTGCCTGAGGAAGTTGTAACCTTAGGGCAATTAAAGAAATGTTGATATAAATCATGTCAGTACCGCATCACTGAATACTGAGCTAATGTTATCATCTAAATATCAACTTTAACCTGGTGCCGCAAATGTTAAACATGCCAGAAAAAAGAAACACTTGTAAAAAGTAATACACATTCGGGAAAATATCGACAAAAATCAATCACAGTACAGATAAAATGTATCTTACTATCTGAAAGCTTTCCACATCTTCCTGCTTCTTTCGTAGATACTGTAAAAATGAACAATGATTCTGTAAGAGCCATAGCTTGCAATTTCTTAAAATAGAGGAAGGGGATCAGATCCCTTGAAAAAACAAACTAAGACAACTACTCATTTTCAAATTACAAATACGAAAAAAAAAGAAACAAAAGTAAGAAACCTAGACAAAAATAATTATATACACCGCCATATAAAACAACGGATGAACTAATAATTTCAGTCCAGCATTTGCATTCTAAAAATTTAAACCGGATGGCTCATCACAATCGACTACATATTTTAATGTAATGTTGAAGAGAAATTCATTTCTGTGATGAAATTTTATTTTTGACATTTTTATTTTTTTAGTTTTGGTGCGGCAGTAAATGTCTTCGAAGACTCTTTTCATTTGTTTGCTTTTATCTTTTTCGTTTTTTTTACTTGTGATAAATTCAGTTGTGTTTATGCAATTATTTTACCATCAAACCTGATCGGTTTATTCAATTTGCAGGCAATTCGTATATATCAGTAATACTTAGTTCAGATATAAAAAAAATGCACGTGGCCGCTTTTTAACTGACCGGACATATCTTAACAGCAAGATGGTGGAGAGTACAAATACTACTGAATTTACCGAAACCGAAATGTTCCTCTTACCGATCTTGTTGTAGTTAAGCAAATTGCAACTGATTTTTACAGTTTGTTCTTATGTTTTGCTGTAACTCCACTGTCCAAGGTAAGGGGATGGTTGAACGCTCACAAATATGTTTAACCCCGCAACATTCTTTATGTGCCTGTCCCAAGTCAGGAACCTTTAGCTAAGTGGTTATCGTTGTTTCATATCTGACATATTTGTTTTTCTTAAATCGTTTTGTATAAATATGGTTCAGCGTTAGTTTTCTCAATTGAACTGTTTCACATTTTCAATGTAGGGGCCTTTTATAGTCGACTATATGGTATGGGTTTTCTCATTATGGAAGGCCGTACGGTTGCCTATAATTGCTTACATACACTTCTTTAAAACTTTGGTGGCTAGTTATTTCATTGGCAATCATACCACATCTCCTTATTTTCATACTGATCTTTTTTTCTTTATCACCCCCCTCCCCATAAAAAAGAGAATTTAATCATACGGGCATGTGTAAAATTGTTACAAAAAGAAGATTGTCGAATAACAATGAAACTGGCATCTTCATTTGTGATGCCTTCAATTATTAAAATCGTTTTGCTCAATATTTATTTTGCTATGTTTTGTTTTGTGTACTTTTTCATCTTTTCGCCCTTTTTTGGTTTTTTTTCCCTGGCATTGTCCTTTTTTTTATTAACGTATAAGTTTTGAATATCCCCTTGGTATCTGCCGCCTCTATTTCATAATTAGGAAAATAGATATTTTAAATCAATTCAAATTGAAGAAAAAGAAAAACTAGGTTGTCAATACATTTATGTAAAATATCATTTACCTGAAAAGCTTAAGACAAAAACCAGCACAAGTATTCCTTGGTCCATTGTGCCGTGTTAACCTTTTGCATGCTAGACAGTCAAAAGGAATGTAAATATGCCATAATTTTGAACGTATAAGACTAACCACGTGTTGCTTCATAATTCTTTGTATAAGGACGTATATCATAAAACTTTGTGTTTTTATAATAATCCTTTTCTTACATTCATGTTGTAACTTCCTAGGTTTCTTTGTGCTGAAAAAATACATATGTTTCGTTTCAAGCTGTAACAAATTCACAACATTCGTTTCAGGTTATTTGCATCACAACATGTTAACATGAAATAACCTATTTTTAGGAAAATGCTGACAACATTGAAAAGAAAAGTTCGCATTGTTTAAAGTAAAAAGATGAACTATATGAAAAATAGTTTTACACAAATGTATTTAGTTGAACAATATAGCAATTTCACTGTTGTTCTGACAAAAATTCATTCATGAAACAAACATATTCGCTATGCAAAGAGCACATTGTTTCACACACGAAAAATGAAGAAAACCAAGATCAACAAAGCATGTAGCTAATAACAATAAATAATGAAATAAATAACGACAAAAACAAAAACAAAAAACAGAAAATAAAAACAAAACATAACATAACATAACATAACATAACATAACATAACATAACATAACATAACATAACATAACATAACATAACATAGCATGTTACATAGCATAACGCATAATATAACGTAACAAAACCTTCAAATTTAGAATTTCTCGTGAAAAATTGGTTGAAAAATCTCAAACAGAAAATTTGAGCTCTTTAAATCGTGTTTACTGAGAAAAAAAGAATTTTATACCAGACGGCAACACATCTTTTGACATAATGGAAAAAAGGATATTGTAGGCATTTCAATAGAAATGCTACGAAAATTTACGACAAAAGAGACGATTTCTCATTCCCTATTGTTATTTTTTCTTTTTTAGACGGCAATGTTCCTTTGGTTCCATCATACGGTGTTTATATATCCCAACTCGTTCGTTATGCCCGTGTGTGTAGATTTTAACGAACGTAATCAATGCATCACTGTTAAATTATTAAGTCAGGGATTTCGTTACCATAAATTACGTAAAACGTTTGCTAAGTTCTTTCATAGATACAAAGATTTTATTAGTAAATTTGGCTGTACCTGTAGAAAACTGATTAAAAACGGTATTTCACATCCTAATTTTACGGTAATATTGTACTTAAATCGCGGAAATCACTATGTGATCCGTGTAAACTCATCGAACCTTTAAACAAACTTATAAGTAAAGGTTATCTTACCAATGTTGAAATTATATCTTTGAATATAGTTTACATTGGCACTAATATCGATTTTGTCATCAGCAAATTAAAACTGATTAAAAATGGTATTTCACATCTTAAATTTTACGGTAATATTGTACTTAAAGCGCGGAAATCACTATGTGATCCGTGTAAACTCATCGAAGTGTGAAGGTTTGGTACATTTAAAACGTTTAAACCCGCTGCATTTGTTTGCACCTGTCCTAAGTCAAGAATCTGATGTTCAGTAGTTGTCGTTTGTTGATGTGGTTCATAAATGTTTCTCGTTTTTTATATAGATTAGACCGTTGGTTTTCCCGTTTAAATGGTTTTACACTAGTAATTTTTGGGGTCCTTTATAGCTTACTGTTCGGTGTGAGCCAAGGCTCCGTGTTGAAGACCGTACTGTGACCTATAATGGTTTACTTTTATAAATTTTGACTTGGATTGAGAGTTGTCTCATTTGCACTCATACCACATCTTCTTATATCTATATCTTACCTTTGTATTGATTTCCGTGTTTTTGGTGTAAATTTTGGGAGTTTTCCTAGTCGCTCGAAAATAAAAATTGTTCATGTTAAATATTGTATTAACTATTAAAAGTGCTTTAATGCTGTATTCACATATAGAAGGATGTTGAGGCTACGAAAATATACATAATGTGTGAGTTTCCATTTATCGTCTGATTTTGGGTAAAAATGGATGATCAGAAAAATTCGTTATGTTTCTACTACTGTCTTATATGAATGTTGTTTTCCTTCCTACTAATTCATTTAACCATTAGAAAGGGAAAAAAAGAAAAAGAAAAAGTGGAAGCCTTTTTCATATTTAAATCACCGAAAAGGAAAAAATACTAGGATTTGAATAAACATTTAATATTTTAAAGCAGAAAGCTATTTAATAGATATAAGAAGATGTGGTATGAGACAGCTCTCCGTCCAAATCAAAATTTATAAAAGTAAACCATTATAGGTCAAAGTACTGTCTTCAACACGGAGCCTTAGCTCACATCGAACAGCAAGCTATAAAGGGCCCCAAAAGTTACTAGTGTAAAACCATTCAAACGGGAAAACCAACGGTCTAATCTATATAAAAAACGAGAAACGAGAAACACTTATGAACCACATCAACAAACGACAACTACTGAACATCAAATTTCTGACTTAGGACAGGTGCAAACAATTGCAGCGGGTTTAAACGTTTTAATGGTACCAAACCTTCACCCTTATCTGAAACAATAGTGTAACATCACAACATAGAAAGACACACTATAAAATATCAATTGAAATGGCTTAACTCAATCAAAAGACATATTAACACCAGTGAACATACACTGAACAAATTAATTTGATCTATGATACAATGTAAATACAAAATAAATATACTAAGGGAAGAATGATTAAAGTAACATGTAATACCGCTGTGAAATGTTATACAATTTAAGAAAAACAATATGCTTGAACAAAAATATCAGCCATTTGCAATTATTTTTAACACAGGTAAATGAAAATAATTTTGTTCTTAGGTATACGTGTACAGTTCAAATAGAGAAAGGGAAATATTTTTACAAAATAAATAATTTTGATGTTCATACTACGAAGAAGTGAAAATTTATAATAATACCAAACACTTATCAAAGCTGGTATGTAGACCGGATATAACCCTGAATAACATTAAATAACAAAAAAAAGCATTACAATTAGTATCAACAGGTCAAATAAACAAGAAAGTACGATTTGAGTGTACTCGCAGTTACTGACAGCTAGTTAAAAGCCAAAAACAATTAATGATAAAAAATCATGCATCAGAGACTAAAATCAACTAAAATACATCCCAGGGATTAAGTATTTTAACGTCACGGACAGTCAAAGAAGACATGACTTGTACAATGTCAAAAATAAATGTATCGACAGGCAGTAGTTACATGTAGTTAGGAGTTAACCTCTTTATAGATCAAAATGAACGTGGGTGTGTCTTTATACATCCCGTTTGAAAAGAATACAAATTTAGTTATGTTTTAATTTGCTGATTACAAAATCGTATTAGTGCCAATGTAAACTATATTCAAAGATCTAATTACAACATTGGTAAGATAACCTTTACTAATAAGTTTGTTTAAAGGTTCGATGAGTTTACACGGATCACATAGTGATTTCCGCGCTTTAAGTACAATATTACCGTAAAATTTAAGATGTGAAATACCATTTTTAATCAGTTTTCTACAGGAACAGGCAAATTTACTAACCAAATCTTTGTATCTATGAAAGAATTTAGTAAAAGTTTTACGTAATTTATAGTAACGAAATCCTTGACTTAATAATTTACCAGTGATGCATTGATTACGTTCGTTAAAATCTATGACATCACTACAAACACGGGCATAACGAACGAGTGGGGATATATTAACACCGTATGATGAAGCAAATGGAACATCGCCGTCTAAAAAAGGAAAATTAACAATAGGGAATGAAAAGTCGTCTCTTTTGTCGTAAATTTTAGTATGGAGATTTCCTTTAGAGATTGAAGTGTTCAAATCTAGCTAGTTAAAAGCCAAAAACAATTAATAATGAAAAATCATGCATCAGAGACTAAAATCAACTATAACACATCCCAGGGATTTAGTGTTTTAACGTCATGGACAGTCAAAGAAGACATGACTTGTGCAATGCCAATATAAAAGTATCGACAGGCAGTAGGATAGTTAGGAGTGAACCTGTTAATAAATATGTATAATGTAATATATAGATAGAGTTATCTCTATATAGAAAATGAACGTGGATGTGTACTTATACATCCCAAAAAAACGTTTGAAAAGAATACAAATTTAGTAATGTTTTAATTTGCTGATAACAAAATCGATATTTGTGCCAATGTATACTATATTCAAAGATCTAATTACAACATTGGTAAGATAACCTTTACTAATAAGTTTGTTTAAAGGTTCGATGAGTTTACACGGATCACATAGTGATTTCCGCGCTTTAAGTACAATATTACCGTAAAATTTAAGATGTGAAATACCATTTTTAATCAGTTTTCTACAGGAACAGGCAAATTTACTAATCAAATCTTTGTATCTATGAAAGAATTTAGTAAAAGTTTTACGTAATTTATGGTAACGAAATCCTTGACTTAATAATTTACCAGTGATGCATTGATTACGTTCGTTAAAATCTATGACATCACTACACACACGGGCATAACGAACGAGTTGGGATATATTAACACCGTATGATGAAGCAAATGGAACATCGCCGTCTAAAAAAGGAAAATTAACAATAGGGAATGAAAAGTCGTCTCTTTTGTCGTAAATTTTAGTATGGAGATTTCCTTTAGAGATTGAAGTGTTCAAATCTAGCTAGTTAAAAGCCAAAAACAATTAATAATGAAAAATCATGCATCAGAGACTAAAATCAACTAAAACACATCCCAGGGATTTAGTGTTTTAACGTCATGGACAGTCAAAGAAGACATGACTTGTGCAATGCCAATATAAAAGTATCGACAGGCAGTAGGATAGTTAGGAGTGAACCTGTTAATAAATATGTATAATGTAATATATAGATAGAGTTATCTCTATATAGAAAATGAACGTGGATGTGTACTTATACATCCCAAAAAAACGTTTGAAAAGAATACAAATTTAGTAATGTTTTAATTTGCTGATAACAAAATCGATATTTGTGCCAATGTATACTATATTCAAAGATCTAATTACAACATTGGTAAGATAACCTTTACTAATAAGTTTGTTTAAAGGTTTGATGAGTATACACG